ATTGTTCAAATCTTATATACTTGTACTTTACGTATGTATGCATATAATATGCATTTGATGGATCTTTGCTTGCTATTCTTAAGAGCTTTGTTACTTTTTACTGTAGCATTGTCTCTTTCTCCCTTGCAGGTCTGCCAGTTGTCAGCTTTTATTTTTCAGGTGTAGAATTTTAGCTCTTTTGTATTTCTGATTTTCTGCAATAAATTCTTTTTAATAGTTTTTTCATTGGCATATTTTGGTTGCACAAAGCTGTTTTATTGTGATACATGCATCTAATTATAATATATTTGGGTGAGATTTTTCCCTGTATTATTATTTTATTGCTCTTCCCAACTTATTTTTACAGAATTCTTTTTTCTTTTTGTTCCAGTACTGGGTCTTGAACTCAGAGCCTCTTGCTCTTGGCTTTTTTCACTCATGGCTGGCTCTCAACCACCTGACACATGCCTCCAGGTCCTGCTTTTGGCTGATTATTTAGATTATAGTCTCCTGGATTTATCTACTGAAGCTGACTCCAAACTTTGATTCTAAAATCTCAGTCTCCTGAATAGCTAAGATTAGAAATATGAGGCACTGCTGCGCGATATTACTTTAGTTTACAATTCTAATAGACTTCATTAACTACTTTTTATAAGTGCCTATTTTCATACATACATATTTTGATCATTTACCACCTTATCCCCTCTTTGCTTTCCTGTCTTCTGATAGTTCCTGCCCCAACTGTCTTCTTTTTTCCATTTGTGTCTTCTTTATTTTAGACCTAAAATTCCATAGCACCTTGGCTGATGCCATAGCTTTGCTATTGTGAATAGTGTTAGCATAAATGTGATGTGCCTTTACCTCTATTTTGTACTAATTTACATCCCTTTGGACATATGTCCTCAGGCAGTATAGCAGGGGGTATTATTTAGTATTTTGATGTACTTCTATACTGATTTCCATATTGGCTTGCTATTTTACATTTCTATTAGGCCCCTCCAATTCTCCCATTGACACTATCTTTTTTTTTTTTTTTTTGCCAGTTCTAGGGATTGAACTCAGGGCCTGGGTTCTGTCCCTGAGCTTCTTTTGCTCAAGGCTAGTATTCTACCATGTGAGCCACAGTGTCACTTCCGGCTTTTTCTGTTTAGGTGGTACTGAGGAATTAAACCCAGGAATTCATGCATGCTAAGCAAGCACTCTACCACTTAGCCACCTTCCCAGCCTGTTGTTTGTTTTCTTGGTGACAGTCATGACAGGTGAGATGAAATCTCAGTATTGTACAGTATTGCATGACCTTTTATGGCTAATGATGTTGAACATTAAAAAAATGTATTTATTGGCCATTTACATGACCTTATTTGCTCATTTATTACTTGGATTATTCTTTTGGAATTTAATTTTTTAAGCTCTTAAATATCCTGGATATTCTTTGTCTGATTAATAGCTGGCAAAGATTTTTTTGTCTTTTTGTAGACTGTTTCTTCATTTTGACAATAGTTTCTTTTGATTTGTAGAAGGTTTTTTATTTCTACAATTCCATTGTATATTCTTGCTCTTAGTTCCCGAACTTTTGGAGTCTTATTCAGAAAGTTTTTTCCTGTACTTATTTTTTTAGTTGTTTTTCCATAGTAATTTCAAAATTTTCCATCTTACGTTAAGGCCTTTGACCCATTTTTGAATTTATTTTTTTATACATGGTAAGAGGTAGCAATCTAGTTTCAGACTTCTATATGTGGATACTCAGTTTTCCTAATGCCATTTGTTCATGAGGTTATCCAGCAAATATTTTTAGTATCTTTGTTGAAAACCACCAGATGGCTATAGCTGTGCAGGTATATTTCTAAGTCTTCCTATTTCATTGGTGTACTTGTCTGTTTTTGTTCCTATCACTTTGAAATATAATTTGAAGTCAGGTATTGTCATACCTTCAACATGGTATGGTGCTTTATGCTCAGAATTGCCTTGCCTATCTGAGGTCTTTCATACTTTTAATAGTTTGTTTTGACAGGTCTTTTGGGATTGATTTCTGTTATCAACCCTTTCTCTTCACAGCATTGTGTCTTCTCATCTGCCTTATTATTATGAATGCTGGAGATTTTAAGTGAAAAATTGTAGAAATTTTAAAGCTTAAAGTAATGTTGCCTTTTGGTGGGGGGCAGGTTGGGGGAGGCCTCAGTCTGGGGCTTGAACTCAGAGCCTGGACACTGTCCCTTAGATCCTTTTGCTCAAAGTTCTACCACAGCACCACTTCTGGTTTTCTGGTGGTTAATTGGAGATGAGTCTCACAGACTTTCCTGCCCAGGCTGGCTTTGAACCTTGATCCTCAGATCTCAGCTTCTTGAGTAGCTAAGATTACAGGCTTGAGCACCAGGCATGAGTGAGAGAAAGGTGGAGGGGAGGAGGAGAAAGAGGGGGAAGAGAGAGAGAGTGAGTGTGATATTAATTGGAAATTAGTGTTTCACACAGAGAGAGAGAGAGAGTGAGTGTGATATTAATTGGAAATTAGTGTCTCACAGACTTTCCTGCCTGGCCTGGCTTTGAACTGGGATCCTCAGATCTTAGCCTCTTGGGTAGCTAGGATCACAAGTGTGAGCAACTGGCACCTGGCAAGTCTAAGCTCTTTTATAACAAGATGATTGCTCTCTGGTAGATTTTTCAGTGCCTAAAATAGTTCTGTGCATAGTAAACACTGAATATGTGTTGTTGAATGAATTTATAACCAGCATGAAAAGGACACTGGCTTTCACAGTGTGCTTATAAGGATTAAGTAAGTTAATGCATATGAAGATGTGCCAGGCACATGGTAACACTCAAAATATTATTTAAGAAATTGTTGCTTCCAAATGAGCATGTCTCATTAGTACATACTATAAATGTTAAAACTCTCTGCTTTTTTTTTTTTAATAGCAAGATGATTTTTCTCCTAATTACTGTTATTATGTGCCCCAAACTTTTCACTCCTTTTCCAGTGGCTGGGATGGTAGAATGAAGTTTATTCCATAAAATGCTATTCATGTAGGTGGTAGATTTAGATACTAGATCTGTACATTTATGATTTTCAGTCAGTCATGTAGTTTGCTTTTAATGTCACTTAATGAATGGGAGAAGATTAACTAGACATAATTCCTTTTCAACGGTTAGCTTTTAAGGACTGTATTTTGGGAGATAGGCACACTCAATACTTCTATGTATTGCAAATAAAACACAAGCCTAAGCAGATGTTCAGAGAACATCAATCAAGATTGAGTGACCCGAATAGAAAATATTGACTCAAGCAAATGCCAAACTTAGTGTTTACCCTAGAGGACAATAAATCTTGTTGGTCAGTACATGCATAACACATACATTACACACACACATTACAAATTCTCACTCACTAGGTATATTTGGAAGTTTTGTGGCATGTATATCTTGGGCATAGCTTTCCCTAGACAGAATTATTTAACATACTTGGACAGGTTGATGAGCTTCTCTTTCCTCCTTGTCCTCTTAAACTTAGATAGCAAAGCTTCTGCCTTATAGTTTACATAGTCTGTGAATTTAATTAATTTGAGTTATTTTTTGTTCCTTAAATGTTGCTTTGTGTTGAAATTCCCTTTTTTTTTTTTTTCTGGTCCTGGGACTTGAACTCAGGGACTGTGCTCTGTCGCTGAGCTTCTTTGTGCTCAAGGCTAGCACTCTACCGTTTGAGCTACTGCACCTCTTTTGGCTTTTTCTGAGTAGTTTATTGGAGATAAGAGTTGCATGGACTTTCTTTCCTGCCCTAGCAGGCTTCAGATCATGATCCTCAGATATCAGCCCTCCTGAGTAGCTAAGATTATAAGTGTGAGCCACCAAGACCTAGCAAAATTCTTTTTTTTTTTTTTTTTTTTTTTTGGGGGTCCGGTCGTGGGGCCTGAACTTTGGGCCTGGGCACTGTCCCTCAGCTCTTCAGCTCAAGGCTAGTACTCTACCACTTGAGCCATAGCTCCACTTCCAGCTTTTTTCTTTTTTGCTTATGTGGTGCTGGGGAATCGAACCCAGGGCCTCAGGCATGCAAGGCAAGCGCTCTACCACTGAGCCACCTTCCCAGCCCTGCAAAATTCTTTTTAAAAGAGAAAATACCTTTGAACTTCAAAGAGCCTGAGTGCATGCATACAAAAATGCTTACATTTATATTCTATATTTTTGATACCATAGAAATTGTAATAAAGTTGATATGAGATAAAACTTCAGGCAAGATAAATATTTATAAAGAAAATCTTGGATGAGATTTGAGGTGATAGAAAAATCTTTTATGGTTTGATAATCAGATTTAACATATTAATGTTTAAAATTTATGCAAATACTGTTTTTAAAATACTAGGAAAGATAAAAATAAATCCTACTAAAAGGTGACTACTTTAATATTTTGGTACACAGCTTTCCAGATTTTTTTTTGTCATGTACATAACAGATGTGAATACATACTATTTTAGTCTGTTTGGGCTACTGTAATAAAACACTGAATAATTTATGAGTGACAGAATTTTATTGCTCACAGTTCTAAACATTGGAAGTACCAGGTTAAAACTATAGGAGATTTGATGTTCAGTGAGGGCCTGTTCTTTCAGATGGGGCCTGCTTTGTGTCCTTACTAGGTAAACTGGAAAAACTGCCTCTGGCCAAGTACATTAATACCTTTTAGAAGGGCTTTGCCCTAATGACTTCCTACATTACCCCTGTCCCAACACCATTGTATGAAGGATTAAATTTCAGCATATGAATTTTGGGAGGAGAGAAACAGTCAGACCTTAGTCTATATGTAGATATTTGTGTGTAAAAATGAATAAATGGGAAAATACATACTTACAAAGTATTAATATTAAATTGTTTCAATAAAAGTTTTTTACATTTTTAGATTACAGATATGGCAGTTTAATTGGCCAATGAAAAGGTTGTGTGATCTTTGTTGTGATTCCTGAAATTTTCCTAACTGAGCATATTAATAAGTAGGATCATTGTTTTGATTGACAATGAAGCTTTCATAAATTTTTTAGGTGCTGGGTCATCAGCTATAAAGAGGCCATTTGAAGATGGGTTAGGGGATGATAAAGATCCCAATAAGAAGATGAAACGAAACTTAAGAAAAAGTATGTAAAATCTTCAGTCATATCAATGTGAACTAGAAAGGATTAACAACCTTACATAGCAAGATAGAAAATGAAGAATGTGACTTAATTTGGAGTTTTAAGAACCAGATCTTTTTTTTTTTTCCTTTTGCCAGTTGTGGGGCTTGAACTCTGGGCTTGGGCACTGTCCTTGCACTCTTCAGCTCAAGACAAGTGCTCTACAGCTTGAGCCACAGCACCACTTCTGGTTTTCTAGTGGTTTATTGGAGATAAGAGTCTCATGGACTTTTCTGCCCGGGCTGGCTTTGAACCGTGATCCTCAGATCTCAGCCTCCTGTGTAGCTAGGATTATAGACGTGAGCCACCGGCGCTCGGCTCAAGAATAAGATCTTAACAGAAATTGATCATTGAACACACTCTTCTTGTGTTTGCATGCTTCATGGGATAATAAATATTAATATTGGCAATATAATTATTACTATATCAGGTTTTTTTTTTTTTTTTGGGTCCGGTTGTGGGGCCTGAACTCTGGGCCTGGGCGCTGTCCCTCAGCTCTTCAGCTCAAGGCTAGTGCTACCACTTGAGCCATAGCACCACTTCCGGCTTTTTTCTTTTTGCTTATGTGGTGCTGGGGAATCGAACCCAGGGTCTCAGGCATGCAAGGCAAGCGCTCTACCACTGAGCCACCTTCCCAGCCCCACTATGTCAGTGTTACAATTATACGAGCATAAGCAATTTTAGAAGTACTTAGAAAGTTAGTTTGTATGTATGTGTTTTGTTTTGTTTTGTTTTTTTTGGTCAGTTGTGGGGCTTGAACTTTGGACCTGGGGTGCTGACCCTCAGCTCTTCAGCTCAAGGCCAGCACTCTACCACTTGAGCCACAGCTCCACTTCTGGTTTTCTGAGTGGTTTATTGAAGATAAGAGTCTCATGGACTTTCTTGCCCGGGCTGGCTTTGAACTGTGATCCTCAGATGTCAGCCTCCTGAGTAGCTAGGATTACAGGTGTGAGCCACCAGCACCCGGCTTATGTGTGTTCTTTTGAAGTTTTCATTAAAAACAAAACAAAACGTGATTAAAAGGAGTCTATAAATGTATAACTTAAAAGCAGTTTGTTTTTTTACATTTCTGATCTTATTTCTCTTTCTTTTAATTAGTCCTGGATAGTAAAGCAATAGACCTTATGAATGCATTAATGAGGCTAAATCAGATCAGACCTGGGCTTCAGTATAAGCTCTTGTCTCAGTCTGGCCCTGTCCATGCCCCAGTCTTCACAATGTCTGTAGATGTGGATGGCACAACTTATGAAGCCTCAGGACCATCCAAGAAAACAGCAAAACTTCACGTAGCAGTGAAGGTACTGTATTTCTTTTACTAACTAAATGCTTTGTTATTTTTATTTGATTAAAAAGTACTTATTTTCCTATAATAAATTAACAATGTCTTCATACTTTTAATGAGAACAACTTTTGTTACTTCTGGATCACAAGATGATTTTTTGTTGTGAAATAATTTATGCTGGTTTCATGAAATTTAGAAAACCGAGAAAAAGTTAAGTAAAAAAAATCAGTTGTATATTTCCATGGCATAGTTCATTAATATTTATAGGTAGTTTTGTTTCCAATCTTAATGTATTTTGTTTAACTTTTCAAATTGAGCTTACAATGTCCATATATATAATTTTATGCTCTATAATTATTTCTGTTGATCTTTCATTAGTTTTATAAATAATTTTTAATGACTGATTAACATGATGAGAATACTCTATTACTTATTCAAATCTTTCCCTATCATTGGATATTTTGTAATTTCCATATTTTCTGTCATAAATAAATTTGATAGTATCTTTGGACATGGTACTATTTTGTGCTTCAGAATCTTTCCATAGGGAATAATATTTTCTATTAGACCAATAAATCATGCATGTAGATTTATAGAAAAGTATCCCAAATGGAATGTCTCTACAGAGACATTTAACCTCTTGTCGAGTAATATCAACATATCAGTGATCCGATACACTGGAGATAAAATTTTCACTTAGGAAATGTCATGTTACAGAATGGTAGAAAAAGATCGATCAGTTTTGATTTGCAAGTATTATTAATGTAGATTAAATGCTGTTGTAACTGTCTTAGATATTAGGAATATGGTAATAAAATAAGGTCTGTACTTAGAGAGTTTGCATTCTAATGAAGATATGGTGGAAAGACAAACAGCATATATATATATATATATATATATATATATATATATATATATATATATATATAAACCAAATATGTAATTGTCATATATACAAACAAGTATATAATGTGCCAGATTAGAACAAGTCAGAAAAATAGTAACAAAGTGATATAAATACTAAATAGTCTGTCTTGTTTACAAAAAAGGTGTCTAAATGATAATGAAAGTATGAGTTTAAAATGAGTAGAAAAAAATCCAGGATTAAAGTTAAAACTTACAATAATTAAGCTATACTGTACTCTTGATAATGTGTTACAAATTTTAGAGCTGAATTTTGTAGAAAATAGTCAATGAAATTTGTGAAGTAAACCACAGAGTCTGAAAGTCACAGCTGTTTTGATGTTAAGATCAGGTGAGCATTTCTCCTTGCCTGGATCTTCACAAAAAAAGGGTATCAGTGATAACTGTTAAAGTCTTCTACACTTTGATACATGTAGTCAGTTGTAATTTGTAGGATTTTTTTTTTTTTAGTAGAGGAATAAATTTTGCCATGGAGTAAGTTAGATGTTATTTTTATTTGATGCAGTAATATGTTTTTATAATACAGTTTTTTTTGTCTATGCTGGTACTGGGGCTCATGTTGGTACTAGGGCTTAAACTCAAGTCTGGGCACTGTCCCTTAGGTTTACTGCTCAAGGTTTGTATTCTACCACTAGAGCCACTGCTCTTCCAGCTTTTTGGTGGTTAATTGTAGATAAGACTCTCTCATACTTCCCTGTGGCAACTGGCTTCTAACTGCCATCTTCCCATCTCAGCCTCTTCCTTAATAGCTAGGATTTGAAGTATAAGCCACTGGCACCCAGTCTTTATTCTTTTTTATTTTATTTGTTTGTTTATTGTTGGTCCTGGGGTTTGAACTCGGCCTGGGTACTGTCCTTGAGCTCTTCAGCTCAAGGTAGCAATCTACCACTTGAACCACAGCACCACTTCCAGTTTTCTGGTGGTTAATTGTTGATAATAGTCTCACGAAGTTTCCTGCCCAGGCTGGCTTTGAAACGCAATCCTCAGATCTCAGCCTCCTGAACAGCTATGATTACAAGTGTGAGTGACTGGTGCCCAACCTTTATTCTTTTTTTAAACTTGTAAAATCCGAAAAGAATGAAGTGAAAAAAATTTCTTTAGTTTGATGCAAACTTGGAGTTGCTCTCATTGGGTGTACAACCTTAATCCAATCTTTTTATTTTTACATTTAGCATGAATCTTATATATTTTTACATACAACATGAGGGAGACCCACATCTTTCTTTGGCTCATCTAAAAACACATTTTTTAAAAAACATCAAGCTGCCATAAAGCAGTTGGTTTAGGTTTAGATGTTTTTAGTTTTACTGTTTTGCAATCTTTTGATAATATTTATTGTCTCCTAAGATATGTTCTAAAGGTAGACTTTGTAGGCCAAAAGGAAAGCATATTTTAATAATTCATTAATTTATTTAAAAAGTTACTGAAAATACTATGGTATTACCAAATTGCCATCCATAAAGGTTAATACAGTATATTACAAGTTCCACTTCAAAAGAGTTTCACATCCAGTGTGTTCCTGAAAGTGAGTCCTCTAGATAAAACTCTTTACAGAGTTAGTAGTTTGATGGACCTGATAGAAAATTATACCAGAGAATCAGATTATAACTGTCAGAAATAGGTTCCTCCACATGAGCTTGGTCTGGCTACCTAACAGTTGGCATACCAGAGTGCTGGAAATTAGAGGCCAATTTGCTCCCTCCTTTCCCCAGAGTCTGGGCTCTGTCCCTGAGCTTCTTTTGCTCAAGGCTAACACTTTACCACTTGAGCCACAGCTCAACTTCCAGCTTGTTTTGGTAGTTTAGTAAAGAATCTTTCCTGCTTGTGCTTGCTGGCTTTGAACCTCCATCCTCAGATCTCAGCCTCCTTATCAGCTGTTCATTGAGACTGATTCTTGTGAATGTTTTGCTTGGGCTGCCTCAAACCATGACCCTCCTAGTGTCTGTCTCTTGAGTAGCTAAGATTATAGATGTGAGCTGCTAGTATCCTGATGAGACACTCCTTAAGCACAGTTGGTAAAAGGTCTAGTAGTAGGATTACAGGCCTGAGCCCCCAGTGCCTGACTGTTTTTTCATTTCTTTATCTTGGTATCCACCCCTCTCACAAAGGACGCCTTGAGGGACATAATCAGCTATATTCTATGCAGAGAGCTTCAGTCTTTGTGGAAAAGGTTAGATTGGAGATAAGGCTCTTTAAAAGAGGTTTTTAGAGTAATCAGATGTTCTGAGAGTCTGATATCAAACCTCCATTCTACAGAAGCTGTGGATGTTAGCTTCTTTCTAGTAGAGAGCCATATGTAGAATTGCATGTATTTTCTTTTCACTCTTGACCCCTAGTTTTTGAGAGCATACTTTCTCTGTGTTTGCTCTCTTCAAGGAAAAAGATATCTCAGTTTCCTGTCTCCTGTCTCCTTTCTCTTGTCTCTCTGTCTCTTGTCTCTGTCTCTCTTTCATTCTATATGTGTATACACACATGCAGTATTCATAAGCATGCATTTTATGTACAACACATATGCAGTATACTCATGCATATGTTGATATACACAAGTATAAGTATAGATGCACATATACATATGTGTATACATATATAATTTTTGGCATTTAGGTTTTAACTTTTAGCCTACATTGTCTGTTAATTTTGGACTGATGAACTGTCTGGTATGAGATTTCTCAGGGAGAACATAGTTGGAGGACTCTGCAGAGAAGGTGTTTTCTTTATAAAATTTTGATGAGGTTATAACCAAATGATGTAGTGTACTTAGTGTAAAACTTCAAAATTTAAGATATTACAAAAGTGTTCTTGGCTTTACTCCCAAAAAAATACAAATTATTTATTTATGATTTAAATGCCAAGTTCCCCGTATATGAATTGGACAAATTAATTTCTAGTTCTCTTGGTACAGAGTTCCACTTAAGCCCTTTTTTTTGTAGTTTAGAATAACACTTTTATTTATATTGGCAAAATCCTTATCACATAATGCCATTGTCTATAAAGGCTTGTTTCTCATTCATGTGGCTATGGCAGTTTTTTGAAACTGGGGTTGAGCTCAGGGCTTTGTTCTTGTTATATAGGCAGTCTATACCTTGAACTATACCTCCAGCCCTTTTGCTCATGTTATCTTTGAGCTAGGTCTCTAACTTTTTGCTCAGGTCAGTCTGGACCCTGATCCTTCTATGTATGGTTTTGACTGTATCTGGAAAGACAGATATACACCACCATATCCAGCTGTTCATTGAGATGGAGTCTTATGAATGTTTTCCTTGGGCTGCCCTCAAACCACTATCCTCCCAGTCTCTGTCTCCTGAGTAGCTATGATTTACAGTTGTGAGCTGCTGATATCCCGATGAGACACTTATTAAGCACAGCTGGTATGATAAAGAAATATGAAATATGGCATTGCTGCTGGGTGCTGGTGGCTCATGCATGTAATCCCAGCTACTCAGGAGGCTGAGATCTGAAGATTGCAGTTCAAAGCCAGCCCAGGCAGGAAAGGCCATGAGACTTTTTTTTTTTTTTGTTGGTCGTGGGGCCTGAACTCTGGGCCTTGACACTGTCCTTCAGCTCTTCAGCTCAAGGCTAGCACTCTACCCCTTGAGCCATAGCACCACTTCCAGCTTTTTCTGCTTACGTGGTGCTCATGCATGCAAGGCAAGCACTCTACCACTGAGCCACCTTAGCAGCTGATGTGAGACTCTTATCTCCAAGAAACTACTAAAAAAAACCAGAAGTGGCGCTGTGCTCAAGTGGTAGAGCACTGGCATTGAGTTGAAGAGCTGAGGGACAGGGCCTAGGCCCAGAGTTCAAGCCCCACAACCCTAGGGGGGAAAAAAAAGAAATATGTCATTGCTCTCCTTTTTTTCCCTCCAATTGTTGGGGTTGATCTCAGGACTTTGAACTTGCTAAGCAATGCTCTACTAATTGAGCCACACTGCCAGTCCTGTTTTTTTTTGTTTGTTTTTACTTTTTCTTTTTTTGGATAGAGTCTCTATCTAGGGTGACCTCAACATTCAGTTTCTCCTACCTATTCTTTTGACTTAATTGGGATTACAGGTATGTGCCTCGATGCCAGGTTTATCTGTTGAGATCATGGGTAACTTTTTGTTTTAGCTAGCCTCAATCTGCTTTCGGAGTAGCAAAGATGACAGGTATGGAGCCACTGTACTTAACTGGCTTTTACACTATATCAATTTAAAACAGCTAAAAGCTATAACATTCAAGGATCTTTGGGACCTGTCTCTGATTCCTCTGACATATTGTCTTATTGGCTGGTGATGTAGCTCAGCAGTGAACAGGTGCATAGCATGTAAAGGCCTTGAGTTTAGTCTCCACTAGTCCAGTATAAAAATAAAGTTTTAATTAGTAACTGACATCAGCATCAATTTACTTTGAAGAAAATGTACTAATAAATGCATTTTCTTGTGGACACAGACACATTGCTCAACAAATTTTATTTCAGTAACGTATGAGACATCTCAGGTATTGAATAGGAATTTTGAAGTTTGAACATTAGAGATAGCCATAAAGCTGTCAAGCCTTGAAGGGAAGGATGCAGATAGAAGCCACAAGTGTCTCTGGTTCACTTAGTATGATAAATAAACACAGATGCTGAATCTGAATTTTCAAGTATAATTTAAGTTGAAAGCATTGTTGGTAAGTACCATGCTTTAGATTTTATTTTGTAATTAACAGGCAAATTCTTGATTTCCCAATCTGGGCCAATTCCTTTAATGAGTTGAGAACTTAGAGGTTAGCTTACCTAGTTTCATGATTTGTCAATTAGAAATTTGAGGACCAGAGAACTATAGAATTCAACTCTGAGGTCTTTCCCTTCTTCGTCCAGTGTACTTTTTTCAGGTTCTTTTTAACTCTCCCCAACATTTCATTGTTTAAACCTGTGTTCTTTATTTTCTCTATCATTTCCAAATTAAATGAACCAAATCAAATATAACATCAGGTATGAATTTCTTTCTCTCTCTCTCTCTCTCTTTCTTTCTCTCTCTCTCTCTCTTTCTTTCTTTCTTTTCTTTTCTTTCTGTTATTTAGTTGGACATGGGGGCTGAACTCTGGGCCTGAGTGCTGTCCCTCAGCTCAAGGCTAGTGCCCTACCACTTGAGCCACAGTGCTACTTCCAGCTTTTTTCTGCTTATGTGGTGCTGAGGAATTGAACCCAGGACCTCATGGGTGCAAGGAAAGCACTCTTACCACCGAGCCAACTTTCCAGCTCCGTCATCCTTATTTAAACATAATTACTTTGAGGAGGACTTCCTCATTTTTCATACAGTACTACTTTGATACTTAGCATATGTAACCAAGAATTTATAGAATTTTTAGCCCTATATTGCCCTTTCTTAGTGTTTTATGAATCTAAATGTTATAAATATGAAACTTCTGTTCTAAGTTTCCTCTCTGTGATCACTGGTATCTGAATAAAACTGAGTTAAAATTATACCTCAATGTAATTTTCATAGGTTTTACAGGCAATGGGATACCCAACAGGCTTTGATGCAGATATTGAATGTATGAGTTCCGATGAAAAGTCAGACAATGAAAGCAAAAATGAAACAGTGTCTTCAAACTCAAGCAATAATACTGGAAATTCTACAACTGAAACCTCCAGTACCTTAGAGGTATACTTAACTGTTTTTTCCCCTTGGGGGGAGAATTGTGATATATGTTCATTGTAGAAGATTTGAGATGTCAAAAAGAGTAAAAAGTCAAGTATATATAAACCTGTATGTTGTAGAGGCATACATTACTAACATTTTGCTTTATGTCCATCCAGATTTGTTTCATGAACATTTTATGTAGGCAGCCATATTTTCATGATGGTTTACATCTTGGTTTTATATAACTTAGTACTAGAAATATTTGTCAAAATAACTGCATATTGTACAACATTTGAGTAAATATACCCTAATTTTACTAGCATTTTCCTACCAATGGCCACGGAAACTGCTTCTGTAATTAGAATGTATTGTTTGTATCACCAATAACCAGAAGACAAAAGACTAAAAGATCTGGCGGAGGAAATTTGGAATTATTTGAAGTGTGTGCTAAACTAAATTTGTAGGAGACATAAGGCCATCATTTAGTTGGTTCACCCTTGTTAGAAGACCTAGAATGTACCTCAGAATATGAGAAGTCCTGACCTTTGATTTTATCATTGCAGATAATTGATTGGATGAAATCCAGTGTATTAGGAGGGCGTTCCTGGAATCCTTGTTTATAGCATTATTTGTAAATAAAATTGACTCTAGAATTACTGCAAGAGCTTTTTCTTTTTTTCAAGTTCTTTTCACCTTGTTAGTTGTAATAGTAAATATGCTTGTTATTAGTTGTAATAGTAAATATGCATTAAGGACTCAATAGACTAATTCTTTTCAGTCCATAAATCCCTTTTGGTACCTGCTTAGCTTTAGGTGTTGTAGATGTTGTTGTTCTGGGCCTGAAAATGATGCTGGGCAAGAAGGCAAAAAGATAACGTTTATAGAAACTCCTAATGTTATGTAACAAGCACTGTGATTCCAGAGTAATACAATGTGAAATCTCAAAGTAGACACTGGTTGTGTGACTGTCTCACATACGCACAGTTCTATAATGTCAGTGGTAGTACAGCAAGAGCATGGTTTTACATGATGAATTTTGCCATGTGGGGAAGGGAGTGAAACAAAAGCATTGTGGGGCCGAAAGACAATGAAGTACAATGACTGAAGGTTGAAAGTTCAAGTTTGTGAGGTGCCATGGAAGCTTGTTTGGAGAGCTGTTAGGGGCTGAAGCCTGAGGAGGACATTCTAGACTCTCCTGCAATGGAGAAGAGAACAGGAGTGGCACTGGCTGTGGAGAATGCACTGCTTGTTCATAGGAGGTAGTTATAGCTCCAGAGGTGCTGTTTCACTGGTGGTGCATTTACCAAGGGAATGGAGGAGTCATGAATTCACACTGTACAAAGTACAAAGGGAATAATTAGTAAGGGAGAGAACAGAGAACAGTGTGAGCTGTACTAATAGCAGCCACATGAGTATATGGAGGTTTTAGTGGTGGCTATTTAATTCTGCATAATGTAATATTGAGATGGAGATCATTTAATTTTCATTTCTTTAAATAGCTTAATTGATTGAAATTCAAGGTGTTTGTGTGTGTGAGAGAGAGAGCACATATAGAAGTTATAGTGGTGGCAGTTTAATGTATTTAGATGGAGAACCCTTAATTTTCATTTTTTAAGTTAAATAGCTTAAATAAAATTTAAGATACAGATGTGCTTGTGTGTGTGTGTCTCTATGTGTCTGTATATGTGAGTATTTGAACCCAGGGACATCCATCCATACATCTGCTGAGCATGTACCCTGACACTGAGCTACATTCCCAGCTCTGAAGTTTTTAGTTTTTAAGTCTGGAGGCATTAAAAAAAAAAGTCATTTTAGTGAAAGAGTAGAGAGTGATTAGTATAGATTTGCCTTAAGAAATTTCTTATTACCCTTTTTTTCTAGACTTTGGTGGCTCACTCCTGAAATCCTGGCTACATAGGAGGCTGAGATCTGAAGATTGCCATTCAAAGCCAGAAACCTGAAAGTGTAGTTGTGGCTCAAGCTGTAGAATGCTAGCCCTGAACATAAAAAAGCTCACCCAGGCCCTGAGTTCAAGCCCTACTACTATGCCCCCCCCCCCTGCAAAAAAAACCCTAAAACACCCACAAACAAGCATTCTCTTTACCCTTTTGAAGATGATTAGAAATTTACCATGAAAAATTTCAAATATAAATTATGAAAATGGATCAAGAAAAGATGCTTTTTAATTGTAGAAGACTCAGGAGTGATGATCTTAGAATGGTTTCACTTCTGAGGCAGCAGCTTTAGAATGCTTCATTATGACAGTGCTAACTAAATGCATGTCATGGAACTTGAACTCAGGGCCTAGGTGTTGTCTATGAGTTCTGTTGCTCAAGGCTAGTGCTCTACTACTTGAGCCACACTGGTTTTTGGTGGTTAATTGGAGATAGGTCTCACAGACTTTCCTGCTCAGATTGGTTTTGAACCTCGATCCTTAGATCTCAGCCTCCTGAGTAGCTAGAATTAGACATGAGCTACCAGTGCCTGGCTATAATAACACTTTTGAACATTCATTTTGTTTGTCTACCATTTCTTGAGTAATTATTGTGATGAAATTACACACATTGGGCTTAAAAAGTACTCAACCTTTAGGACCTTCCCTTTTCAAAATTATATTTGTAATATTTGTGCCATTGTTTTATTTATTCTACCTCTCTACATTTGAACCTTGTTAGGCAAACCTGGATTGCTTCTTTTTTCTCTACTTATGTCCTATCCCCTTTAATCCATTTTCCACCACTGCTTGTGATTTTTTTTTTCTACAACACAGTTCTTTTCTAGGTTAGACTCTTTCTCTGGCACCCCATTATTCATGATTGTGTCAGAGCTAATTAGCTTGACACCCCAATTCCTAGTGATTTGAGCCCATTTAGAGTGTTTCCTAACAGAGTAATAATATACCACTTTCCTTTCCCACTCCCTTATGTCACCAAACTGCACTTTCTATGATTTCCAGACAAATGTTCTTGGCTTTTCTTGGGCCCTTTTTAAAAAATTGGTTCTCCTTGGTGATGGTCAGGCAATTAGCCCCTTAAGACCAGGCCCATGTCTAGTTCTAAGACAATTGTCTGAATGCCCTAGAAATGGATTCCTTCTGGCTGGACATGGTGGCATATGTCCATAACCTCAGATCTTTGGGAGGTGGAGATTGGGAGGACAGTGGTTCATGGCTACTCTGGGGAGATACTCTCCTCCCCCCCCCCTCCCCCCCCCCATTTCAACCAATAAGCCTGCTGTGGTGACCTTGCTTATGTTGCCAGCTACTTGAGTCCAAGAACAGCCCTAGACAGAAATGTAGATGCTCTCTAAAAAAAAACTAAGGCAAATGGGTTGGGGGCATGGCTCATGGGCTAGAGTACCTTTTTAGAGTACAAGGTCCTGAGTTCATCTTCTCATCTGTTCCTTCCCTCAAAAGTGATCTGGTTTACTGTGTTTCTGTAATACACATCTGTCCTATAACATATATTGTCTATAATGATGGCATCGGTGGTTCCTGGAACATTCTGTCTCCCTGAGGACAAGTAATTACCTTCATTGGTACTTAGTTTTAAAGTTCAGGATCCAAATAAAAAGCCACTGCTTTTTACTTTGGTGCCATTAAATCTGTTTGGAGAAACTAAGAGATTTAGGATTACTTTCGGGGAGCACATGTAAAGATGAGAAATATGGATCCTTAAGGCATTATTTGAATATTATTTCTTCTATGTTCTTCGCTAGTCATTTGCGGTTTGGTTAGGTTATGAACAGCATGGAATAGACTCTAGACCACCTGGGAGTGGCAAGGCCACATTGAGTCTTGAATATTGAACTGGCCAGTAGCTGATTGGTCAGATATGGTTGCAGAATTTACTGCCTGTTGTTTCCATGCTTTTGATGCTATGTTGCTATTAGTATAGAAGTAGCCTCATTTTAATTATTGACCTTCCTTTTTAACATAATTTGTATTACTACCTTTAGTATTCTAAACTTATAGATTAAGCCACCAGCTTCCCTGTCTCTTTTAGGTAAGAACTCAGGGCCCTATCCTCACAGCAAGTGGCAAAAATCCTGTCATGGAGCTCAATGAAAAAAGAAGAGGTCTCAAGTATGAACTTATCTCAGAAACTGGTGGAAGCCATGATAAGCGCTTTGTAATGGAGGTGTGTTTCTAGACTCATGCAGCCTTTTTTTCCTTTCGCAGCTGTAGGGTATCCTGAACTGTTAGGTAAAAATGTTTTGCCATCAGTTCTTTGGGCACTGTTTATTTCTGGTGTTTTCTATGTTATGTATTTAAATTAAAACTACTAGAGGATTGAATGGAATAATTGCAAAGTGGTGTTCTTGATTTCAGGTAGAAGTAGATGGGCAGAAATTCCGAGGCGCAGGTCCAAATAAGAAAGTGGCAAAGGCAAGTGCTGCGTTAGCTGCCCTGGAGAAGCTGTTTTCTGGCCCCAATGCAGCAAATAATAAGAAAAAGAAGATTATTCCTCAGGTATGAGTTAAGCTTAACTTTTGCAGTACTTTTCAAAATGCTCTGAGAATTAAATTTCCTGCTTTTGTGTTTCTTTAGCTTGTTTTTTTTTTTTTAATTACCTTGCTTTATGTAGTTCACTTTGGCATTTTGTAAAGTTGTTTCTTTTTTTTTAAATTTTTTATTGTGAAAATACTGTACAGAGGGGTTACAATTACATGGGCAAGATAATGAGTACATTTCTTACCAAGCATTGTAGCCTCCTCCTTTGTTTCCCCTTCCCATCCTCCCCCCGCCCCCCCCACCCAGTCCTCCCTGCTACCCCCCTCCCCTCTCCCCTCCCCCCTCCCCCTCCCCCCCACCAAAGTTGTTTAGCCCTGCGGTAGGGCACCCGCCCCGAGCACGCAAGGCCCTGGGTTCAATCCTCAGCCTGGCAAAAAAAAGGAAAAAAAAAAACAAGGCAAAGTTGTCAAGTTCATTTTTCGACATAATGACTTGTACATCTCATTGTTGCAATGGGTCCACCTGTATCCCTATTTAAATGATTTGTTTTTCCCCTTCCCCTCCACAAATTATAACGACATCAAATACAGTGAAAGCAGGGGTTATACTGTGGGGGAGGGACATACAAAGCAATGTAAAGTTGTTTCTGTTTTTGTGAATTTAGCAGCTTTTCTTTCAGGTAGATAATGAATAATACACATCAAGACCAGGTTTACTGTTCTGTGGTGTGACTTTATTTTTTGCACAAAAACTATATATTGACAGATGTATAAACTATATATTGACAGATGTATAAACTAGCATTATTTGGAAGGTTGAGCCTATCCAGGATGAGATAAGATATGGAGGTAGTTTGTGCTTTCTGGAGAAAGAGCACTTGTGCAGCTCAGAGAACCTCCAAATTTCCTGGAGCTCTTCTTTCTCCAGGTCTGCAGCTGTTCTCTCACTTCTTTCCACACTGCTTTTGTATGATTTACTTGAGGTTTTCCTTTGTAGGCAGCACAGAATGTGTTAAATTTGCTTTTGCAGATTACTGGCATTGGTGTGTCAGTGCCTGGAAGTCTAGAGTTTTCAGTAGGTATTTGGAAAAATTGGCTCCTAATACATGCCCTTCTTGTATATGAAGTTCTTCAACCCCTCCATTTATGCATCAAGAAATACTTTTTAGACAGGTACCATGTGTAATTATGAGAGAAAAAGAGATAGATGGGTAAATATAAGATACACTCTCAGTGTCATGAGGAGTGCTGGTGCAGGACTAGTGCCTGAATAAATTATATGAGAAAAACAGATATTCAAAATGTTCAGATAAAAGAAGCATTGAGTATTTAAATTATTAAACTTCTTGTATTTAGATCCTTTTATATACGCTAAATCTTCTGTAGAAGGGGTAGAACTTGATCTCATTTTACAGAAGAGGAAAGTGAGAAACATTAATTGATGATGAGGTTCCCTTTCAAATTGTCCAGAGACCCTGGATGTCCTACTGCATATTATATCCATCTGGACATTCATTCTGTTTTACTTATGCTTCTTTTGTCAACAATGATCAACACTTGTTAAATTTAAAATGTAAATGGAGATGGCTAACGTAAAAATTAGTGAAACTATAGCCAAGCGCTGGTGGCTCACGCCTGTAATTCTAGCAACTCAGGAGGCTGAGATCTGAGGATCACGGTTCAAAGCCTGCCTGGGCAGGAAAGTCCGTGAGACTCTTATCTCCAATAAACCACTAGAAAACTGGAAGTGGCACTGTGGCTCAAGCAGTAGAGTGCTAGTCTTGAGCTGAAGAATGCAAGGACAGCACCCAAACCCAGAGTTCAAGCCCCACGACCGACCAAAAAAAAAAAAAAAAGGTAAAACTAAAATCTTTGTTACACATGTAAAATATTAGATTTTCTAAAGTCTTTGAGTAGCAAAAGACAAAATATATTCTAGATTATGTGGAAAAATTGTTATTACATTGGGGTTTTTAACCCTACATCTTGAAATTGATTAGAAGCTTTTGTACATAAAAAGCCTAGCTTCAATTATTTACCTTTCAGGGGTGAAGAATCTCCAGCCAGCAGATCATATGAAACCTGCAGAAATCATTTTTACGTGAGAGGACAGACATACTTTTCATGGGCTGCCCACAGCTGTCTGCCTGCATTTATAATTTTTTATGGCCCTTGAATGTTATAAATATCCAAATGGGCCTTGGCAGAGAAAGATTTCCTACTCTTGATTTATTATATAGTGAAGTTTGTTTCTGGAAACATGAGTTAGATCTCTCTGGAATTACTCTGTTCCTGCCAGTTTGTTGCTTCCTGGCTACTTTTAACTAGTGTGTTTTTTTAAAAAAGGGTTGAAATGTGAAATCCACTCATTTTCAGAAATTTTCCATACTAGAAACTGTGTTAAAACTCATGTGTTTAATGAGTTTGACAGCCAAGAAGTAGTCTATTTGAATGTATGGATTGGTTTATTTCTGGAGAAAAGAAGAATGGCTATCCTTGTGAATTTCCTCTTGGACCTTGGAAGTGTCATAGGGGTAGTCAGATATGAGATAATGGCTATTTTGGAAATAAGAAAGTGTCAGGTTGGTTTTTTTTGTTTTTTGTTTTTTTTTGCATAAGTCAAGTGTCTTCCTCCTCTGACTCTTTCAGCTTCGTAAACACTGTTGACTTTCCCCTGATTCTCTTTGAAGCTCTGCACCACTTGCCTTGCACTTTGGCAAGTGTAGGGAATCATAATATTCTAGCTTGAATTTTTATTGCATTTTTACACTAAAAAACAAGTTGAGACACTGATTTTCTAGAGTATTCACTTAGAGAGAAAGGAGGTATTTTTGCAGTACTTTTTTACTTAACAGTTCAACTTTTTTTTTGGTTGTTTTTTAATTTTTTTTTTTTTGGTCAGTCATGGGCCCTGAACTCTGGGCCTGGGAACTGTCCCTCAGCTCTTTAGCTCAAGGCTAGTGCTCTACCACTTGAGACATAGCGCCACTTCCAGCTTTTTTCTTTTTGCTTATGTGGTGCTGAGGAATCCAACCCAGGGCCTCAGGCATGCAAGGCAAGCACTCTTACCACTGAGCCACCTTCCCAGCCCCTGTTTTTTAATTTTTTTAAATTATCTTTAAGTAGTTGTACAAACACGTTCCCATTGTACAAAACAGTATATGTGTACAAAGTGTCTGACAACATTGTCACCCATCTCTCTTAACTCATCCCTTCTCTCACTTTTTTTTAATTGAGATTAGGTGATTACATAAATTTCACATATTTCACAGTATTGTGGAATAGTGATACTTAGAGTCACAAACACATTTTAACTTTCACAAGGCAAATTGTCATTATCATGGTCTATACAGTTTGTGAATTCTATGTGCTTTGACAATACAAGTTATTTTTTCCACATCAGATGATGTTTACATTTACAGTTCAACTTCTAAGAGTGTTTTCATGGCTATTCTTTGCTGTTTTTACTATAAAGGGAAGTGGTTCTTTTTTTGTTTCTGTTTTTTTTTTAATTTTAAAATGAGTTATGTTATCCTCATTTTACAGTTAATGGGGAGACTTTCAGAGAGAACTTTACATAGCCATACCTAGCATTTCAAGCAAGAAAACCTTTTTGAGCTATTTAATGGTTGATACATGCAAATATGCTCAGAAGAAATAAGCTTAAAGAAATTCCATAACCAAAAAAGAAAGAAAGAAATTCCATAACCTTCTTGAGGTCATGCAAAAGAAACTGGCTTTCTGGTCAATGAGCAGAAGTAGCTGTAGATACTCAGAGTCCCAGTTGCTGACCTAGAAAAAAAAAAGGAAACTGACCTTTTCATCTTCCACCTTCCTTCTGTCCTTTTTTCTTTTTTTAAAATTCACTCAGGTTTATAGTTATTTGTGGATATTTTATTGCTGAGATGTTTTCTCCCTGTAGGTAGAAAATTCACTGGCTTTCTTGTTTTTTTTTTTTTTTTTTGTCGGTCGTGGGGCTTGAACTCTGGGCTTGGGCGCTGTCCCTGCACTCTTCAGCTCAAGGCGAGCACTCTACTGCTTGAGCCACAGCACTACTTCTGGTTTTTGAGTGGTTTATTGGAGATAAGAGTCTCATGGACTTTCTTGCCCAAGCGGGTTTTGAACCGTGATCCTCAGATCTCAGCCTCCAGAGCAGCTAGGATTATAGGCGTGAGCCACCAGCGCCTGGCTTCACTGGCTTTCAAACCCAGATATCAGTTGTTTATATAATTAAATAAAAGTAATCCTCAGTCAGGCCTACAGTGATTTAAGTGTATTTTAAATACTTAATTTTTTTTTTTTTTTTGTCGGTCGTGGGGCTTGAACTCTGGGCCTGGGCGCTGTCCCTCAGCTCTTCAGCTCAAGGCGAGCGCTCTACCACTTGAGCTACAGCGCCACTTCCTAAATACTTAATTTTTAAATTTAGAATGTGAACTCTTTCTGGATAAACTCTCTAGTGAAAAGTTAACTTAGGTGCTTTTATGTGCTTAGCATATGTTTTAAAATAGTTCTAAGGTGGTTATCATTTCTATTTTGTAGGTGATACACTGAAGAGTCTAATCACTTGTTATGGTACCTGAGAGCCCAAATTTTCATGGTGATTTTGCATCAAAGAAATGAGAGGCTGATCATTTTTTTAGTGATAAAATGTGTTCTATATATTTTTCATAGGCAAAGGGTGTTGTGAATACAGCTGTATCTGCAGCAGTCCAGGCAGTTCGGGGCAGAGGAAGAGGAACTCTGACAAGGGGAGCTTTTGTTGGGGCTACGGCTGCTCCTGGCTACATAGCTCCAGGTTAGTACTGTATGAGATTATCTGCTTCTTTGGCACCTAGACCTTCATTTTCCAGGGTTATACAGGGTCCTTGGAATATAACACATAAAATTATTCAGAACTTCAAATGAAAAGAATGTATAGCCAGATGCTGGTGGTTCACGCATGCGTGGTTCAAAGCCAGCCCAGGCAGCAAAGTCTGAGACTCTTATCTCCAGTAAACCACCAGAAAACTGGAAGTGGCACTGTGGCTCAAGTGGTAGAGTGCTCACCTTGAGTTAAAGAACTGAGGGACAGTGGCTAAGCCCAGAGTTCAACTCCCACAACTGACAAAAAAAAGAAAAGAAAAGAAAAAGAAAAGAATGTACAGACTACCATAGGTTTTTTTTTTTTTTGTTGTTGTTGGTCATGGGGCCTGAACTCTGGGCCTGGGCACTGTCCCTCAGTAATTCAGCTCAAGGCTAGCACTTCTGCTTATGTGGTGCTGAGGAATCGAACCCGGGGCCTCATGCATGCAAGGCAAACACTCTTACCGCTGAACTACCTTCCCAGCCCGCACCATAGGTTGTTTCCTTTGGGTTTCTTTTTCTTGGAGGAAGATGACAGATGAGCAATATTGGACTTGGTTTTCATTTTGAGAATGAGGAGAATCTATTTTGTGGGAACATAGAAATTGTGTTGTGTATATAAGAAGGGAAAAATTGTTAAGGGCCTTTTTAACATGGGTTGGGAGTGCATATAGGTGGGGAAGACTTTATTAGCATTTGTTTTTTTGGAAACCATCAAAGGAAAAAATAGTACAAATGATTTGCAAAACCGAATTTATCCTGAACTTGCTTATTATACACCGGATGTTTTCATATAAATTATTTAACTTAATTGTGCTTTTAATATTTACCGGATTTTTCCTCAGGTAGAAATTAATTTCCAGATAATGAAAATAATATATAAAATTGAGTTCTAGGGAGATAAAGGTAACCAGCCTCAATGAAACAACTGCTAAGCATCAATGTAAGGATTTGAAGTATATGTTTGTAGTTCCAAAGTTTGTGTTACTCTTTTCTGCCACGTGGCTTGAGGGATAGCTGCCTTCTTTGTGCTTTCCATTCAGATCCCTATTTGGTTTTAACCATGGGTTTCCGGTAATTTTGTTAAAATGAAGTTCTTAGCAATATTGAACTGAGGAAAATTTCCACATGACAAGCAAGCAAGACACTTGTATTAATTGGTCAAGGTGAAACGTGTATAACTACTAGGTTTTAGCCAGGTGCCAGTGGCTTATGATTATAATCCTAGCTACTTAGGAGGCTGAAATCTGAGGATCACAGTTTGAAGCCAGTTGGGCAGGAAAGTTCTGAGACTCCAATCTCCATTAACTACCAAAAAGCCCAAAATGGAGCTTGTGGCTCAAGTGGTAGAGTGCTAGCCTTGAGCAAAATAAGCTTAGGGATAATGTCCAGGCCCTGAGTTCCAGCCCCAGGGCTAGAACAACAACAAAAAGATTAGGTCTTAATTCAGTAAGATTTTTTAGGTAACATCCCTATAATTTCCCTTATAATTGTATTTTCTTCTAAGTAAAGTAGAATAGCTTATTTGGGAGTTTTATGAGTGATAGGGCTTTGGAAAGAGAACTCTAGAGGTTGATTCCATTTGTATTGCTCCAAGATATGTTCTCATAAATATGTGCTTTATCACATAGTAGATCTAGAGTTTGTTCTCATGCAGATTACAGTTTGAGGGGGCAAGATGTGTTGACCAGGTAGTAGCAGTGACAGCTTGAGGTGAGCAATCATGGAGGAGATCATGCCATGAAAGCCTGTAACAGAGGACCCTGATGTAGTCTAGTTGGGTCTCTGAATGTTTCCCTAAAGAAGTGACACTGGAAGGGAGCATTGGAGATGACATTTTAAAAGCTTTAGAAGTTTTACAAAAAGATATTCTTTCGTGACCTAGAGAAGATTCATTCAGTTTAGGTCAGTCTAGATAATGATTAAGTTTGTACCATTTCTGGAGCATATTCTGTGTGACATGGATTATTAAAAGTATTTTTATGTTGACACAGAGGCTAAGTGATACCAAAAAATAGATATAACTGAAAATACCTTGCTCATAAGAGGTAGCAGTATTAGATTCCCAATGGCCTGATCAGTAACCAGTTTCATAGTTGTAGTTTCATCTGTTTTTAAGGAGCTACAGTGTCAAAACTGTAGCATTGGCAGAGTACTTATCAAATTTCCTGAAATAGAGTTTATATACAGACTTTTTTTTTTTTTTTTGGTCAGTTGTGGGGCTTGAACTCTAGTCCTGTGTGCAGTCCATGAGCTATTCAGCTCCAGGTGAGCGCTCTACCACTTGAGTTACAGTGCCACTTCCGGTTTTCTATGATTAATTGGAGGTAAGAGTCTCACAGACTTTACTGCCCAGGCTGGCTTTGAACTGTGATCCTCAGATCTCAGCCTCCTGAGCAGCTAGGATTACAGGTGTGAGCCATTGGCACCCAGCTATTCCCAGACTTTTTAGTCTTAATTTCACCTTTGGCCATTGCTGTCATGTCCTCATCCTACTGATTATTTCAGCTGCATTGTTAGTGGAGATGTGGCTCAATTGATAGAGCACCAGCCTTAAGCAGAAAAACCAAATGAGTAGTGAGGCCCTGAGTGCAAGCCCTGGTACCATCACCCCCAGAGAGATTGTGTGTGTGGGGTGCATGTGGGAAGGATTTAGCTGCATTGTGTCCTGCTTAAATCTACAATTTAGTGAAGTACCCCAGTTTAATTCAAATATAGACTAACATGTCAAGAAACCAAGAACAAAACCTGCCACCCATTAGGAAATTTTTTGATTCAGGGCCTGAAAGCAGTTCACTTCTTTGGCATTCTTTTGAGTGCTTTATCTCAAACAGAAATTTTCAAAGTTAACTAAGATTCATTGAATGCTCAAATGGGGCAGGACAAACACTTGAATTTGGACTGTTCAGTATGAAGGCAGTGTAATATAGAATCAATAGCTGTGTGATTTCCTAGGAAAGGTGACATTTGATCTTGAACTTGAAGAATAAATTATGGTTGGTTATATAGAGGAGACAAAACAATTCATTTGAGCAGAAGAAATAGAAAAAGGAATAGGTGAAAAGGCTAGATTTGTTTTGGTGTAGAGATTTGTCCAGAGCCCATTCAGGTGTCATGGCTTTCCAGCTGGGCACCATTGGCCTATCACCTGCAATCCTCGCTGATAAGGAGGCTGAGATCCAAGGATCATGGTTTGAAGCCAGCTGGGACAGAAGGAAAGTCCATGAGACTCTTAATTCCAATTAACCTTCAAAAAGTTGGAAGTAGAGCTGTGGCTCAGGAGGTAGAATGTTAGCTTTGAGCAGAAAAGCTCAAGGACAGAGCCAATGCTCCTGAGGTCAAGCCCCAGGACCAGCACCAAAAATTCCCCTCCTCCAAAAAAACAAAAATCCCCACACTTTCTGGAGACTTGATGAAGCAAGTTTGTATTTACATATTGGAAAATTAAAAACTGAAACTTCTATTAACATGGTGTTTCAATCCTTACACTATAAAGAAACATGGGAGCTTTTTTATTTTAAAAATGAGTAGACGGCAAATTAAACATTATTTATCCAAGTAAGGATGTATAAGAATTAGTGCCAGAACTAATTTGCTAAAAAACATCTGTGTTCTTTGTACTGATTCTTGTTTAATAATAGGAGCATTTTTTTAATAGGAGCATTTTTAATAAATACCAGATGCTAACTTACTTAGAGACTTGGTGCTGGGCCAGTCATTTAGATATCAACAAGTCATGGACTTTGCCCCGGGCTCAGACTTGAGCCATGTGTTCCCTTAGATGGCAATTGGGGCCTCAACCTATTCTGTCACTGTTTTCACAAATGAGATGGGGAAAGTGCTATTTCCAACTTAGAGAAATTAGTGATTTGAATGGTTCTAAGTATTCTTTGGTTTAACAGATGCTATATATTCTGCAAGGTGTAGATGATGTAAAAATGGGTAAGACTTGGCCTGTGTCACTCTAGTAAGAAACATGGACAAATGGCTAATTAAAATGCTGAATGGAAATGAAATGAGAGAGAGACATAGGATATTGTGGTGGGTTAGTGAGAGCCTTATGGGCACAGAGTGGCTAGACTATAACTACACTTGGGCATGGTTCTCTGTTGTCTAGCTTCTGGCCTAGGGTGCCAGGCCAGGTAGTTTGTGAATCAGGCCAATGCAATTGCCTTTAGTTCTGAATTGATTTACATTCTTCTTCTTCGTACCAGGCTATGGAACACCTTATGGTTACAGTACAGCTGCCCCTGCCTATGGTACGTACAAAATCTAATTGATTACTCCTTTAGCAAGTCTGTCAGAACAATCCAAAGCACAGTTTGTATCCAGGGTTTCAGTCAGTAAATGAATCAGGGGATCTCAGACCTAATCATTTTAGTGACACAACTTAAATTCCCTTTGGAAATGCCACAACCTTGTGGTTCTTGGTTTGGTTAGAGTTGCTCTTCTCTCTGCTTTGCCTGATTGAAGGACTGCTTGTTCTAATTGCCTGTTTCTGACCATATTGAAATTAAATATTTTAAGTAATCCTTCTTACAGCCAACTTACACTCCATTCAAAGGCTACTAAAGGGCCATGGTCAGTTTCTAGCCTGGTTGCCTGCCAGCTGTATAATCACATTAACATTTCTGGTTTAGTTTGTATCTGTGTGAACAATGGGTGATTTGAGTCAAAACTAGGAAACGGTTACTTCAAATTTGTAGCTATCATCCTTTTCTATCCATTTTGCTTTGGGGGCTGAGGTAAATGGTTATCATTGGTCCTAAAGAGGAACTGATGGTGGATTTACCAACATCTTCCATAAGTTCTTCTGCAAAAAGCCAGTTGTTTATTCTAGAAAATCAATAGCCTTCCCCCAACCCCAGTTAAAAAAAATAACAGCAAATATGCAAATTAACTTCATTGGCCCTTTGGATAACTTTTGAATGAGGTTTATGTGGCAATGGAGGCAGTAGGTTTGGAGTCAGTGATATGCTCTTAGTTTCCCTACTCAGGTGCTATATGTTATAGACTCAGCCATCTGCAGGATGTTTGTAATTGAGAGAAGAGATAACAAGAGAGTATGTGTGCATGTGTGTGAGAATGTGTGTCGGCACAGCCCCAGGCTGGGTGTGCATGCACACAGAAAGCAAAAGCCCTTCATGTATTGCTCTTTGTGACATGAATCCTCTACTTGAACATTTTCCTCTTCACATCAACTCTGCCATATTCATCTGAATGAAAATTACAGATCCTTAAGACATTGCTAAACCGAATCTTCATTTGATTTCATAATTGTAGAAATAAGTACAAAGTGAATAGTTTGACTTCTTTGCCCATTAAGTTAGTTTATTATATCTTGAAAAGTTGTAGAGAACTGGCAAGGGCCAAACATGTGGAACTTTTTTTTTTTGTCGGTCGTGGGGCTTGAACTCTGAGCTTGGGTGCTGTCCCTCAGCTCTTCAGCTCAAGGTTAGTGCTCTACCACTTGAACCACAGCGCCACTTCTGGCTTTTTCTGCTTATGTGGTACTGAGGAATCGAACCCAGACCATCGTGCATGCAATGTAAGCACTCTACCACTGAGTTACTTTCCCAGCCCTGGAACAAGTTTTGTTTAGGCAATATAAAGCCTGGACTTAAATCCTTTGCTTGATAGGTTTGAAGGCTCATGCTTGTAATACCAGTGCATAGTATGTAGAGAGAGGAAGGTGAGGTTTTTTGGTGAACAAAAGTTAGACCTTATCTCAACAACCAAGCTGGGTGTAATACCTGTAGTTCCAGCCACATGAGAAACTTAAGTTGGAAGAGCATAGTCCAAGGTTGGCTCCGGGTAAAAATGTGAGACCCTGTCTGTAAAACAAACTAAAAAAAAAAACTAAAGGAATAGCTCAACTGGTAGCATGCTTGACAAGCACAAAGCCCTGAGTCCAAACCCAGTACTGCCCCTCCAACCAACCTCCTTAGCCTGCTTCCCTCAGACATACCCAGGTATGGATGAGGGCCTCCCCCAGTTCCGAGCTAGAGTAACATTATGACAGGTGGGAATTGAGGACTAGTCCAGGTTTCCTTCTGAATTGAAACTAGCTCTTTTTGATTTGGCCATTGGCTTCTGCTCTTCATCAATTTCTGGATATCCTTATTGCCACATCTTTCTCCATCTAGGTCTGATCCCCTTACCCTGATCCAGTACATTAGATTCATTTGCTTTATTATGTCTTATGTGAATTCTTTAGAACCTGCAGATTTTTAAGTCTGTCTTTGTAATAGTCGCACAGTAGGTTTTTCAGATTCTTTAGTTCAGGTTTGCCAAAGACTGCTTGCTTTTTCCTTTTAAAGCAATTTGTATCTAGATTCTTAGGTTACATCCATGTTTTTCCTTAGTCTTTAATTTTCTCCCTTGGTCCTCTGTTTCCTCTTTTAACATTATGCTGTCACTCTGTGGCCTCTGAGCCTCAGTTCAGAGGGCTCCTCTCTTCCATCTGCCATATAACTGACTTCCAAAGCTGGTGAAGTTTGATGCCCCCATTTTTCACATAAAAGATTTGGTTTTTAAATGTTACTGTGATGCAAACCTACTAAAACGATGCTTTATTTTGGCTGTAAGGTAAATATGTCTTTTGGCCTTTGTAAAGCTGTTGCATGTGGGGTAATTTCCCTCTGATCATCTGGTGCTCTTGAATACCTGCTGTTGCTGCTTTGTGATTTCTCCGTAGGTTAAATATCAGAATAAGCATAGGAACAGATTTCAAATCCTGCTTGAGTATGCAGAAGTTTGTGAGGCCACAAGAACGTATTAATTACAAAATTTAGAAAGTAATTAATCTTTCCAGATTTGCCATGCCAATATTGGCAGTAGCCATTAAGAAGATGAACCCGGAGGCAGTTCTCGTTGTTTGAGGCCTGCCCAGAAAGCTATGCTATATATCTTAACAATCCCTGTTTCTTCTTTAGTATGTGATGTGCCAAATTGAGAACCAGTGTGGATTTCAAGAGCTACTTTAGAATATCAATATCAATCAGTAGCATTGCTTTTGATTTTTAAACTTCAAATGACAGCTTACTCAAAGTGTCATTTCTCAGTATCATTTTTTCCTATGATGTAGCCATCTCACTTTTGAGTAGAAAAATATCAGAAATACAAGAATAATTTCAAATCTGAAAAAAAAATTGGGCCTCTTCCAAATGGTTTATGTTGACTGACTAATCTGGAAAAGGTTAATGATAATTACTGTAAGACTTTTTTTTTTTACTTGGAATTTTTATTCGAGTCCTCTTCATTTCTTTTCTCTGTAGGTTTGCCCAAGAGAATGGTTCTGTTACCCGTTATGAAATTCCCAACATATCCTGTTCCCCACTACTCATTCTTTTAGCAAATGACAGAAGCTCATTCCTATTGAACAACTATACAGTACAATGCAGAATGTTAGATTGAAAAAGCCTTTTTATCCTGCTTTCATTGAACACATACTTGATCAAAATTATTTGTAAAGAACATCTTTCCTACTTTTTGATTTTAACAAATACAAATTTAGTTCTCTAAAACTTGAAAACAGACAAACAAAAAGAAACCAGTTCTGTGAAACGGTACCTCATTTCTGGAAAATAATTTATACCAGCCCTTCTGTTTTAGGGAAATAAGTCTAGCAGTTCAAAGTTTAAGTTTTAAGAGAGTATCAGATTATGTAAAATTAAATTTGTGGAGGATGTATAGAGTCTCAGACACTGATCACAAATAAAATGCTTTGTTGTAACACAGAGTACTGCCTGGTTCCTGATCCAGTCACTGATGCTTAGCTGAGTGATATCTACTTGCCCCAGGGCATTTTAATTTGGGCTGTAGTTATTTTTTTTTTAAATACAATAGAGACTTTTCATTTAAACTTTAACTTTGTAAATATTGAAGTGTGTAATTAAAACCAATAAAACATGGGTTTGAATATTGTTTTAGCTTATTATTTTTGATATGTTTGGTATTAAATCATAGGGAATTGTGAACTAACAATAACTTAGCCCTAGAGACCCATTCATTTGTAAGGAAACTGCTAAAACAAAGCACAGGTGATTGTTAGCTTGAGCCAGTGTACTTGCTTTGTAAGCTCTTGTACTCCGGATGTACAAGGGCATCCCTTTGATAAAGGTTACATTCTGTTATCTCAGAATTTCTGATTAAAATGATGGCACTACTCAGAGATGGGGAAGGAAGACTGTGATTATTTTAGTTTACAATTTCCAAGTTTTAAAAAATAAATTAATTAATCACCCTCTTTTGTTCTTGTGGCCTTCTTCACTCTGTAAGATACTGTGTTCACTCCCTGGCTTTTTACATGCAGATAGATTAGCAGTTTTTCTGGGATTCCTTGAAGGGTCTCCTTTCCTCTTCAATTACATCAGAATCTAAAGCAGCAACAGGCTCCCCATAAAAACTTGCTCTTCAATTGTCCCAGTTCTTGTTGAGTGCTGCTGTGGAAAGTGACAGGTTTCAGCCATGGGTCAGCATTTATTTTTAAGACATCTATGATGCTGGTGGAAACTGATGAGTTGGTTAACATTGTGCTGTTCTGTAAAGGGTGCAGACTGAAGCCCTCCACCTGCATTCTCACCTTGTTTGGAAAGCTGATGATATTACTAGAAGGTAATGGTTTCATTAAGGTACTCACCCCCATGAAGGCAACAGTATGGTCTCCTGTCAACATTTACAAGTCACTTGACTTAACAGTATCTGTGGTTGGTGTGAACTAGCTTTCCTTTTTCCTATTAAATTCTGCTTTTCAAAACTGAACAATGCCCATCAGTGAAAGTGGGCTTTTCAAGTATAACAAATTGAGTGCCAGATTTCTTTGAGACCACTATGAAGGTGAAATGGGTAATAAAAACACAAATGTTAGCATCACTTCTCAGATGCATAGCACACAATAATTTACTTCTTCTCCTTGACCTTCTGTCTTTATTAGTGGTGGGTGATACTTTAATAAAACCTCATCACTTGCTGGAAATAGCTGTAATTTATCATTCTCATCCTGTGCATTAGTAGCTAGACATAAACAAGAGGGGCTCATTTCAGCTGGTAGTTGTCATGTTTCATTGATTCGTTTTGCTGACCTATGGATGAAACAGAGCCATCACTGAGAAGAAAAAGCATGGCTGGTAGTACTTAGTTGTTATTAATTAAATATTTACTATAGCCCTCTGTTTTTTGGAATACTATTAATTGGCACTTGCAGTTGTACTATTATTTGAAATTGATCATCAAATTTGGAATCTCCTTGGAGATTTCGCTTTAGAAAATTTCTTTGACTTACTTCATAACCCCTCTCTGATGGAAAAAGGGAGCTGTGCTGTTTTCCAACATGATGGCAGTCATTTCAAATGGTTTCTACCAAGTCTCTCTCTCTTTTTTTTGAATTTTGTTGTTTGTTGAAAGTTACTAACCATGTTGTAAACCTGCCCAGTTGCTGCAAACTTTTACATTTCTCTGCTTTACTTAAAATAATTGAGCTGTCAGTCCTTTGTTAGAAGTGGTAACCATGCAAGTTCAACTGTTTAAACTCTGTAATGAAATAAGTGTCCCCCCTACCTTTTGCCCTTCCTACCCCTCCATTTTGTAATGAAAATTCCACTTACAGCTGAAAGAGCAGAGAAATCTAAATGAAGCTCTTGGCTTCACCAAATTGTGTGAAATTAACATCAAGTTTTGCTTCTCTGCTCTTTTTTCCACTGTAGGTGGTTTTTTCATTGACAGCCCCTATTGCCAGCCTCTGAGCGTCGCACCATTTATTATTCACTTGGGCCCTCAAGATTTCTTCTCTGACTTCTAGAACCATCAGGTTGTCTGGCTTGAAATGGCAATTTCTATGTCTTGAGGCTTTCCAGCTTTCAGATACACCACTCTTGACACCTTCTTTTTGAAAGCAATGACTGAGCATTTTAAAGAAGAGCAATACTTTGTCCAAAGCCACAGTGTCTGTTTTAAAACTTCCTTTGGAAACCTAGCAATATCTGTATTTAACCCCTTTAGCGTAGCTCTTGTCAGGGAGTTTACAGACCAATTAGAATTTAGAATTCGCCTGTGAGCTGTGCTATCTTCTGACACTTTTTAAACTTTTTTAGCACATAAGTCCAATAGTTACATTCCTGACTGTGTCAGCTAGCAGTATTATCATTTCTCCGAGATTGGGATCTTCCTTAAGCCATATCTTTCGGTGGGGGGCTGGCGCCTCACCAGGGATGTGGCTAGCAGCCTGTGTCTCTTCAGGCTGTAGGAGTGCCCCATCTCTTGTGCCAGGTAAGGGTCCCATAGAATTCCAACATACCTCATGCTGACCAGGTAGATCACATAATCCTGCAAAATAAGGAGTTGGGTTTACATAGTTCCTGATGTTGTTTGTTATCTCTCTTAAAATTGTTAACCTGGGGAACAAACCACTGATTAATTCTGCCAGTGTTAGCCTTTTCTTTTCCTCTTTTTAAAAATTGGATGAATGTTTGAAAATCATGAATCAGTCACCATTATTAAATGAAGAGCTGGGAATACCTCGTTAATGTATTTTAAAAACTGGTGTTGGACCTCTGTGTATTTCAGGTTAATACTTTTAAGCAGTTTTCAGCACGTTTATCTCACTTTATTCTCGTTCTCCTCGGACCTTCGTAGCCATATCACTTGTATAAAATAGGCTGAGATATAGTGACTGTAAGCTGTGATCTCAGTATACAAAGGTAAGCTCTTTTATTTTCTGATTAAAGAGAAAAATAACGCAGCCTGCATAAATGACAATCATATGATGTATTTGATCTTTTAGGTCTTATGTCATCACATTACTTAAAAAAATTTTTATGGTCTAAATAAAATGTAAAATAGTTATTTTCAGCATTTGTCTTAATACCCTTGTAAAATGCTTTTTATTCAAGAGATACATGTCACATTCACTTAGAAGTGTATGTGTATAGAAACGTAGAGTATACCATGTATGCAAATTACATGTACATGCAGATACTTGTTTAAATATAAACATCCAGTGGTAGAACCAGATCACCTAACAAGTGATGAACAGGGCGCGCTCTTGGCCAAAGCGCTGAAATTTCAAAAGCAGCAAGATTGGTGACAGTGCTGTTGGATCCATATGTGTAGCTGCTACACAAGCTCAGAATCAAAGTGCCAATTTCTCAAGGAGAGAAACTTCTCTGAGAAATGAAAATCTCTGATCTGTGTTGTATGCCCAGTACAACAACAGCAAGAAGCCATATTTTTATTAAAAAAAAAAAAAAGCAATAGAGAATGAAAAATCAGACAAATTAAGGAACCCAAACCATTAAGGTAACTATGGGAAATAAATGTAATTGATTGAGTTGAGCTAATTATTTGCAGAATCAACTTTGGCAAGATTCAGAAAAGTGAATACTGAGTCTGTGGAGTCAAATAGACAAGACTTTTCTAGGTTAGCAGCTAAAATACATATTATTTCCCACTTTGTTCAGTCATTATAGAGTTCATTTGAATGCTGTGAGGGCTAGGCCAAATATTTTAATAAGGATTTGCTTCATTCAGTGTGACCAAAATGCATTATGTACTAGATAATCTCTGCTAAGGCTGTATTTTACATACATATGTATGTATATATGTATACACGTATATACACATATATGTAGGGAGAGAGATTAAAATGAATTTCATGTTTTATATTTGTTTCTGAGCAGTTTATTACTAACTATAAGGTTGCCAGAACAACTTTTTTCTCCATACAGAATCTGTATGTACAGTTGATGAGGCTTTGGCATTTGTAAAAGCTTTTCCAAGGTAGAACTGATTGGTTCCAAGTGCAGCCCAGTCCTGCTCATGCAGTCCAGGGCCTAAAGGGTATCAGGCCCTTGGCTGGGTACCAGGGAACAGAGGTTTGGAGAAGTGGAAGAGTTCAACGTCTAAGAAACTCATTGATGGAATTGGCTCTTACTATAAATGTCCTACTTTGGGAGACAAATTGTGCTAGCAGTGGCAAAACATAATTTAGTATAATTACCAACTACTGAATAATAGCTTGCCCTTTGATGTCACTGAGCTTGGCATCACTTAACATATTTCCCTGGCGCTTTTGAGGACCTGAATCCTCCTCTGGTTTATATTCATGAACCTGTCCAAGTTTGTAACAGAATGGAATGAATGACAAATACTTCACTCCTTTCAATGTAGTTTTTATGGCACCACAAAGGACAAGGTGGTAAAATAGTGACTACGTTTTTTGATAATGGGAGAGGTGGTACTGTTACAATCATTTTCTATACTCTCCCTTTTTCACGAATAATGGGAGGAAAATATTCAATAGTGAGTTAGGGGAATAAGCTGTCATTGTTCCTACTTCCCTTTCTTTACCCTCCTACCCCTCCGCCCCCTGCCCCTCTCAGATATTTCAATCTCTAGCAGTTTAGAGCCTTAAAGAACAGAAAAAGCTAAGAAAATCATTCTTCCCCTGTCATTCCCACTCTTCGTATGCCAGTGTCTGCTAAGGGAGGTGAGGGATCTCTGAAGCCATCTAGAGCCACCAGGGTGTCATGGTCTTCAAGCTCATTCATCTGATGCCATGTGGCCAATGACTTTGGGTTGGTTTCTCTCTGACTAGGGGACTGGTTAGGGAGGTGATTGGTAAATGAACAGAGCTAAACACCTCTCTGAAGCAAGTTTCAGTATCAGTACATTTTTTGTCTCGTACTTACTTACAGAGCACAGAGCTTCTTAGGTTTTCTTTTTTTTTAATTAGTCCCTTGTTTTCCTTAACAATATCTTCCAGAAAGACTGTTAAGCAAGAATTTAAGTTAAGTTAGTTGTAAGAATTGATAGCCTTTTCAATATTATCATTATATTTGGGAGTTAATAGTGCCATGGATATCTAAGTGGTGATCTTTAGAGGCTTTAAAGGATTGTACCATAATGCAACTTGGGTTATGTAAGTTTTGCAGGACAGCTAGAAGTAGGGAATGGAAGCCATGTGGGAATCTGAGCTGGATTATTTCTCTCACTCCAGCATTTTCCACTGGAGCTTGGAAATTTGTTAATACACTTAAAAGTGCTTTGAATAGTACATGGTGCACGGGAAGTTCTGAATGCTTACTCTTCTGTAGTTGGCTGGGGTAGTAGGAGATATGTGAGGGACGCAAGACTGAGCCAGGTGCTTGGAAAGCAGGTGCAGTCTGCAGGGTTACAGGGGAGAGGGCAAGTCCTGGTGATGGTCCCTGTGGCCCCAGCTGGATAGAATTGCTCATGTTTTTGTGTGATGGGAAGGACCAGCCAATCGGTTGCATGGGGTGGGATTATAAGTACTTGGTTTGGGATTTATGGGTACTTAGACATGCACAAAGGCTGACTGTCTACCAGTAGATTCCAAGTTTCCTACCAGTGCACTTTTGCCAGAATCTAACTTTCAGGGCTCATTGTTAGGTTTTAGAGATGGAGTTAACTGCAAACCACAAAAGGGAAGGAGGCCCCTCTGCAGTGTGCTTGGAAGGCTGCTGGCTTGGGTGTTTCTTGGAGGAGATCCTGACATTTGTCTTTTGTTTAACTAGGGGAAAACATCTCCACAGGAGGCCTGCCTTCTGTCTGTTAATCTTAGAAAGCATTAGGTCTTGGTCTTGCTATGTATCAATTTATCTACCTGTTTGATGTGGAGAAGTTGCTGTTTAGCCAGAGAATGGTTAGATGATGAAATCAGTGTAAATCCATTTCTGGCTTGTACCTGCTTCTACCTCTGTAGAAAAGGCAGGGGTGGGGGCAGGTGTGTTGCTGGCTTTTAGTAGGAGGTGAGTTATAGTGGGTAACACAGATTGAGCTCTGAGCTGGTCTAATTTTTAAACAAACAAACAAACAAAAAAAAAAAACAAAAAACTGTGGACAAGGACAGGAAAGCCAGTAAGCCAGGCACCCACCAATAGCTCCCACTTCAAATCCTAGAAACTGATAGAGTATTGAGTCAAAGCTAGTCAGTTAAGTTAAAAAAGCTGGAAGTGGAGAAGTGGCTCAAGTGGTAGAGTGCCAGCTATGAGCAAAAAAGCTGAGTAAGAATGGAAGACCCAGAATTCAAGCCCTAGTACTGGCACAAAAAAAGAAAAGGAAGGCCTGGGCGCTGTCCCTCAGCTCTTCAGCTCAAGGCTAGCACTCTACCACTTGAGCCACAGTGCCACTTCGGCTTTTTTTCTTTTTTCTTTTTGGAATCGAACCCAGGGCCTCTCAGGCATGCGAGGCAAGTGCTCTACCACTGAGCCACCTTCCCAGCCCTAGATTTGCATTTTGCATTATAATCAACAGGTTTTTCTTAAGCTGGGAGGTAGCTGCATACCCAATGCCCTGGAAGAAGTCAGTGCACCCCTCCCCAGCCTATCATTAGCTGTCAGTGTATTAGTTTGTTCCTTCTAAAGAGGGAGTCTCTTTGGGAAGAACTTGCTGCTGGATGTTGTCAGGATTGGCCCCGTTAGCTTGGGTAGTGGGCGGCATGAGCACTGGTGATTCTCACACCCTCACTGGAGATCCGTGGTCCAGAGGCCTCTCTCTTGCTGCTAGATGGCCAGGGGGGAGAGGGCAGCTGCTCTCAGGACACTGTCTTAGCCCTGCTGTGAAGCCTGGTGCCTCTGTGCTGTGTTGCAGATTCCTTTCAGAGTTTGTTTTCAGGTGTCAGCTAACTGGCCCAAGTAATTGAGTTAATGGCAGCCTTTGGTTCAGGTCATCTGGCACTGTGTAAGCAGCCAGTGAAGTAAACAGGAGTAGAATAGAGGAAGGCACATTGCCAGAATTGGTGTCTTGGTGTATTCCAGGTACCTGGGCATTATTCTTAATTCTCACATATACCACTTGGAGGTGGGTATTACTCTTGTTTTACAGATGAGAAATTTAATACTCCAAAGTAAATGCTGGAGCTGGGAATGAAACCCAGATGTGTTGAGTGCCAAGAGCCTCTTTGTGCTCTCTAGTCTGGAGATGACAGGGCTGTACTGGAATTGTGGCCCTCTAAGATGCGCAGGTCCCACACCAGGTAGCCTGGCTAAAGCAGGGGCATTTGTTTAGAGCATGTAAAGGGTTATGTAACAAACTGGGAAGTTAGACTGTGAAGAGCACATAAGGGCTCTATAAATGGAGTAAGCTTTTGTATTTAAACCTTATTTTTCCATTTGAGTGACTATCAGTGAGAAGCTGAGTGCATGTTTTAATTTGCTTGTGGTTCTGAGTATATGTGCTACCTTGGTTGAGAAAGGAGATGGCGATGTCCTCTGGAGGGAGACTGGTGCTGCTTCTGCTGAGTGGTTGGAAGGAGAAGAGGCAAGAGGCAGCAGCACAGGTTTGGGGTATAGGTATAGGAAGGTATCTTAGGGCCAGGTACAAAGTTGGGGCAGTGGCCCAACATTGCAAGATCTGTTCTGATTGCTGAGAGCTTCCATTAGAGTGGGTTGCCAGCTTGGATTACACATCTTCCTCCATGTAGAGCTAGTGCTGGGTGAGGCCAGTTTAGATTTTTCTGGGATCTCTGATTTGCTGCCTATGAGCAAGTATGTTGCAGGAGAAACAGCTTCCTGAGCTTGTGCTAATTGATGCTATTCTAGCTGGTCTTTGCTTAGGACCAGGTAGGAGAGGGGATAATACAAAAGCCCACTCAGCCCCAGTCTTTATATCTCTGTGAAGAGCCTACTTTTAAACAGCTCTAGAATACTGTCATGTGGTGAGTGCCAGGCCACTGCTGTGG